AACGTTCGCGTCTTAAATAAACGGGGTGATGACAAATGTTAAATTATTCTCGGGTTTACGAAGCAGCGTACGAATCGTTTAATTTTTTCCTCGACGATCACTTAAAATAACAATAATATTACATTGTTCGCGAAATCGGACGCTGTTAAAGTAACGCAATTGTTCGAGAGCGCGCCGAATGCACTGAAATATTGTCATTTTCAAAGTAAATATAATAATAAAAGTTAGAATTTATTTTTAAGTAACGTTTAAACGTCTACGTTTATGACGGCACTGAGATAATAATCATATTATAATAATGACATACCAAATAATCAGGCTTCCTGCGAAATTTTATGGTATCTGCCACTTGTTTGCTTAGTATATTCTATCCTATCCCTATCTGTCGTGCCTGCAGATGTCTAAAATGAAAATGATTGAATGAATCAACAAAACCGGGAAATATCATGGCAATAAATTAATACCTGGGTCACGTATATTATATTTTACCACACTGTCACCAAAAGAGGTCGAGATCTTGTTAGTGGAAGGAAACAGATAATAATATAGGGTCAACATAACCACATATAAAAATGGTCCATGTATTTTTCTTTCACGCGAAAGGCATCGCATATTATTTATATGCTTGCTTAATGCCCATATGATAAGCTTAAATAGCCCATCCGTTTGTTTGATACACATGAAAAATTTTCTTTATGAGTATAATATTACTCTATGAGATTTGGTATAAATATAAAGAACTTCATTTCTTCTTGAAATTTATGAAAAAGGTTTTTAGTCGAATCACGGTTTAAACGAAAACAATACAAATGATAACATCAATAAAATTGAATTTATTACTCACTGTTATTTGGTATTTTTTATTGAAATATAAATTTTATATTGTATAATCAATTTAGTAGTTTTTATTTTTATTCGATATTACTGGATAAGCTTTCAATATAAAATATCCTCAATGTCAATATATAAACAGCAACAGCCGTAACTATAGCTTTTTTTTCGCATAAAAGAAAATCAATGTACCAAAGGATGATAAAATAACTCTCGCTGATGTATAATGTCATACTGAAATAAAACAATAGGATATCATTGGACACCTCTTTAGCCTCAACTATCATCAAGCAATGGTTTCAACAAGATTTTTATGCTGTGCTTTTATTGGTTTTGACGTATAAACTTCATTAATTATATCTATAGGTGTTTGATGAATGTAAATCAGATATAAACATTAATTATTGTTTTAATTGGAAATTTGTAAAAGAAAAAAATATTATTATTATTTTTGCCATAAAAAATGAACAATACAGTAGTTTGCATAATATTAATTATTTAAAGATACTTGAAATACTAATTATAATATTTAAACTTGTAATTTTGAAATTATTCATTCTCTAGATATAGATGAAATAACAAGTGTAAACAATAAAAGTACGCATAGATAACAATTATACTTATGAAATATGTATGTATCATTAGATGAATACTCAAATATTAAATGTTGAAAATATAGTTACTGCATATAGTACTATCCTATATCCAACATGAACGAATTTCGAATGAAAATACCGATCTACAAAAATAAATGAGTCATACTCCTTCTTTATATATATATTTATCATAATTATTCACGAACAAATACAGTTCATTTGATCTACATAGTACGAATTTTTTGTTTTAGATTTGTTTCATTTCTCTTGAAAAAATAAAATAAAAGTTTAAAAGTAAACACTACGGCTATACAGTGATATATAGTAAACATCCTAGTAATTTATCAGGATTTACCTCTCATCTCATCGGTCTTAACAATGGCGTTCTGGGACCAAAGACAAATATGCGGTCAAGGAGACACGGTTTTTCCTTTTCCAGTAAAACGCTGAAATCGCAGACAATGACTAATCTAAATACAGATAACATCAACGGATGAGCATATATTTTTATTTACCCATACATCTCACATTACTTTGGCTAGTTCGTTTTAATGAGAACTTTTTAAAGTGTAATTATCATTTAGTATGGAAATTTGTATCTCTATAAACGTTTCTTTGAAAAAATGCATGAATCACAAAATTAAACGTTTATAGGTACATATCCGAGAAATACGTGAAAAATAAATTTTGATAAGTTAATAATTGTGAGAATAATTGTTGAGAAATGTGTAAAATTCAGTGATTTTTAAAACCTTTTCTCACAATTTTATTTAAACATTTATTGGACCTAGTTTTCTGCATGTTCGATTTAAAATATATTTTATATGATCACCTATCATATTCTGAGATCAAATAAACAATATAAAAACCTATAAAGTGTAAAATTACTTTCGGTTAATAGCTCGTATTATTTTTACAACGTTGAGCAACTTTTTTAAATGTATTTGAATTTTTTTAATGCAAAATTGCAAAGAAATGATTTGATTATGGTTGTAAATATTTACTTTGATTATACAAATCTAAAATAAATGATAGTTGATTACTATGAACATGGAAAACTATTAACAAAGAAGTCCAACTGAAATTACAGCAAAAAAATTGTTAATTTTAAAATTATTAGCTGTAGGTACAGTTTCGATAAGATTTTTAAATGACAAGTTAATTTGAAGTTAAATTTAAGTTCATAGTAGTTATGTTATGTATCATGGATAGAAAACTGGTGACAAACATTATTTTTTTTCTGGTCCGTACAACATTACCGTACATATCCGTACCACACTATAAATAACGTTATGCGTAAAATGTAGATGGGTTTTAACCTAATTCTTTTTTAAATTGAAATAATAGTATATCAATAATAAAAAATCTCTCTGGTGATATCAAATAATTCATCTACTATATATATAAATACGTGAAATAAAATGCTTAGTTAAATTAAAGACATGTAACGATGGATCTAAAACTGATTGAATTAAAAATAATTGCAATTGTTGTAACTGTATTATATATTATTTAAATACTAAAAATTAAATTTCTTTTTAAAACATGAATTTAAAAAACTAAATATTTTTCTCGATTGAAAAATATTTTCATCAAAATTATTATGTACTTTATTTTATGTAAAGCTGAATCAATTATATATCGCAAATATTGCCCAACGCGAATAAATTACTATATTACACTCGGGTTAAAAAGCAAAATAATATTCAATATTATCGTACGTTCATAATAACCATGTATTGTAACTTGAACTATAGATCAATTTTTATTTGCGTAGTCACAGTATAAATATGTCTATATGACATGTGTGTTTAATTCGTTGTGTACGGATATTTCCACAACAATAAATAATACACGGCTCCCCCAGTAAAATATTTTGTTTGCACGGCGACTAATACAAGCAATATTGATGCATGCGTGCATGTGCGTTCAGAAAAACAAAAGGTTTGCAGAACGAAATTGTTCAGATTTTATAATAATAATAAATAATTATCATTACTAACCGTTGAAACCATTGATTTCAGAATTTTAGAACATACCGATACGCTATTGTTTTATTAAAATTAATAGCGTCTTCATCGATGCAGTCACTAGACGTCACTGTAATCGTTTTCATTGTATTATTAATAAAAACAGGTTTTACACAATAATATACAATATAGAATAATAAACTTGTTTGTATCGTTCAATTCCAGGTATTTCTATCAACGGTTGAATGCAAGCGACGTCTAGTAACAGACTTCCGGTGATACCCGGTTGAGCACGGTCGTTACCGGCCGACCATTTTGACGACCCGATTGAGCACGGTAAAAAAAAATAAATATCGTGTACAACGTTGTCGGATTGAAAACTATTAGGCTGGCAACACACCAGCGTTATTTTATCGCGCCGTAATTTTACTGCGCGTTTTGTTAAAGTACAATGAAATGAATAGAGCACAACACACGAAAAAAAATATATGTAATTAAAATCCAATAAAAGATTTTATAGATTAACTATAAATAATTATATTCAAATGTATTTTATTTTGTAATAATGATATGGACGCACCGAGCTCTATACACCAACAATATAAAAAATGCGAAAAAAAAGGTGTCTTATCGTTTTTCTATTGGAGAGTTATTTCTTTTCGGAAACCTGAGCCGTAAAATTTTAAATTATGAAATAATCGTTACAAATCTAAAATAAAATTACATAATAATTATAAAAAAATCTTGCATGCACATTAATACGGTGCACCGAATAATATTCTACGGTACAAAGCGGCAATGTCGCACCCATTTTTGTGCTCAATCGTGTGGTTTTTGGGTTATTTTTTGGTTCCTATTGTTTGATTGCAACCGTGCTTAATCGGGTTCCAGTCCAGAATTCATGTGGGCTCTAATAATTTTAACAATGAAATTATGGCATATCTGTATACAGAGTGTTTGGGGGATGAAAATAAAAATTTTATTACTAGTTAGATATAAGCGTGTCCTCCTAATACAAAATACAATTGAAAAAATTAAAATTAAAAAATTTCAATATTAACTGTTGATACAAAAATCGATAAGACACGGTGTGACACCCTGTAATATTATTTTAAAATGAGTGTTGGAACATTGTACATTCACTAAAAGTGTATATGATAAATTAATCATGCATTTTGTTTTTCATTATCTTCTTGGTAAGTCAAGCTTGCGCAACATATTAATATTGTCTGAATAAATATATGTACAATTTTTTCGGTTTTCAAAACGTTCCTGATCCTTAAAACTGTGGGTATATCATCACTTTCATTATTTAACCCCACGTGGAGCGCTATCGCTAACACACGATGTACATTGGACGGGTGCGATTTATCCTTTTTTCGGAACCTTTTTTGTTATCTATGATCAGCCCCCTGCTGACTGATAAAAATTGGTTTGCGATATGATGTACATTTTGCCTTATAACTCTTGACGACGATACGCTCGTAAATATTATTATTTGCATATATATATTTATAAATATACACATTTGCAATAAGATTTCTATACATGCATGCATAAATATTCGGTTTTCAAGTAAATTGATATAATATATCACACTTACCCGAGATTTCGGTCGAAAAGATCCGCCGGAAGAATATCCTTCATTAGATCCATGCAACCCCGAGCTGGGAAACTGAAAATGGAGTAATTTTGAGTATATTATAGTAATTATTTAAACTATAGTTATTAAAGTATTGTGTAAAATTAAGATTTAGGTGTTTGTATATATTTTCGATGCAAGTAAAAATAAAAATAAATATTTATATTACTTGGAAGACGAGATGACACGAATATGATAAAAAAATATAAGGAATATGATAGAAATGTATGTAAAAAATAAATTCACAAATGCTCACATATATACGTGTATATGTATACGTATTTCCATATAATATATTTAATAACATATGCGAATGCATATGAATGATATTTTGAAATATTTTTCGGAATACGGAGAAAAAAGAAAATAGGACATCGATTTCTTCCCCTCTCCCCGTACACTTCTCTTTTACCGAAGCTTACCTTCTGTGACCCTACCTCTCGGGTAGAGATGCCCATTTTGTCATGATGTCTGATTTGTACTGGGTAGATGATCTGATAATAATTGGCTCCGATGTTCCGCACCAGCTCTTGGTTCTGTCGATAATCCCGTAGGAGTCTTTCCACTTCCCCTGCACACAGAACAAAAATAAATAAATGAAAATAATAAAAACAGCTGGTAAAATGGAGTATTTCATTCCACAAAATAACTGCGAGAGATAAAAATTGTATCGATTGCTACGACTGAAGAATAAAATTGGTATAAACAGTTAATAGAATCTGACAGATGCACGTATATTTTCTGTAATTTTTTTATTCGATGGACATACATGTCTTATGCATTTCTCCGGTTCACATAATAAAACATTCAATGTTTTCTAGAAAATCAATATTTATTTTATACTTCGTCTAATAACTTTTTTTATTAATATTTAGCTTATCATTATAAAGTCAAATAGTTGTTTTGATAACTTGCATAGGACTTGTGTAACTTAAATATAAAAATTGGATGTTAAGTTACAATTTAAAATAACATTATATTCTAGCAATCCATATAAATTATACTTTATATTTTATTTTTCAATGATTTCTGAATTTTGCAGCTATTGATTTGAATCAAACATTTTAGTTAGTGAGTGTAATCTTACACATTAGTTGATCATCGATGAATAAACTGTATACAATTTATTTTCTCGCTGTCGAAATGATATCTGGACGTGAAAACCTGGACACCTGTTATCTATATTTTTCTTAATGAACCATAAAAATCATCATTGCATAAAACTCTTTTTTATAAATATATATAATCCGTAAGCTAAAAAGTAAGTTTATGTAATCCTCAGAAGTAAAACTTTGGTCTAGAAACAAAAATGGTATTTAACTTTTATAGAATACATTTTATAGTAAACAAAGTTGCTAAATTTGGCTGTTATGTATATTCGTAGTAACTTATCAAATTATATTAAGTTATGATAAATACAAAATAATTAAAATCTATACCTAGTCAGATACTCCTTAGTTTGTGTGGGAAATAACGATTATAATAATAACATTAATATTACTAAATAATAAGCGTAAAAGTTATTCAAGATAACAATTAATTTAGTATTGAATACCGATTAAATTTGATAAATGACTAATAATCATAATATCACAAACATCTTTATCGAGAAGTAATTCATACTAAATGTAAGATATTGGTAGTCTCGCAGGAGCTATAATTCCGTTTCAAAGTAATAGTTAAATTTTATAATATTCTCGAAAAGTTAGGTTATTTCACGTATATAATTAAATTTCAATTTTAATTTTCATGAACACATTATAATTATACATACCGATAGAAGAAATAGTAAATTATTATATTTAAGTAAAATAAAGGAGTTTAAGAAATTATAACGTGTACAGCGTTATATCAGACAGAGGGTCCATAAGGTCCAGACCCTTACCCCCGTCCTAAAATATCTTCAATATTTTAAAAATCATTTATACTTGGACTACAATTTACGTTTTGGTTACTGAATAATACTGTCCCAATTAGAATATATCGTATAATATCAGGTACTTAATATATTGTATTGGCAAATACAATTTTATTGAACTAGAAAAAAGAAAAAAAAACACTATGATATTTCATATAAAAATATTATAAATAATAGTAATAATAGTAATAATAATTGTCTTGTCTTTTGGAATGGTGTCATTTTAAGATTATAAATTCTATTTTCGCTTAATAATTTGAAGACAAATTGAATTGTGGTAGGTACAGGCAAGAATAATTGAGGTTGTATTTTGTGTACCAAAAATAATATTTCTGTGAAAGAAGATGGATATTTTTTTTCAAAAAACACGAAAAAAAATGATGAAGAAACGCAAAGAGCATCGATTAGTAAAGAAGATATTATAATGTATAACCTAGTAAATCTCGAATACAATAACTATACTCTTTGTATCGACTCCGATCGTGAGATGGAAAAGTCAACCAGGGATCGATAACGAAAAAACCCTGATTATCACTCTACGATATGTCTATAAAAATATCAGTTTTAAGCTGATTTACATCTTTTAAAAATCCCACGAATACAAATGCATTACACACAGCTTTTTCTTAAGAGTAAAATTTAAAATTTGAGTCACATTATTTTTTTTTACATTTTGCCTTAATTTTTATAAATTTTCATATACATCGAATTAGTTTCGTAATTTTCAATAAAAATCTATAAAAAAACTATTTCATCTTATAAAAAAATGTAAAGAATCTTTTCTAGAACTTATGTCATGCATTCTTACAAGTTATTATAATTTATTTAATTTTTTTCATCAACTATAACGACGATAAATTATATTTTCTGTTAGTTAAAAATCAATCACATTAGCTCCAAACGAATTCTATATATTTTATAATATAATATCTAAAATAACATAGGTACTATAATTAGTAGTGTGTATTGGTTTCCATCACCAATTATCGTCTAGCTTTGGCAATGAAGTATGACTAAAATAGATTTAATGTAAAGTGAATATTATATAGGTTAAGTTTCAAAATAGTGAATATCCTATTATTTTTGGCGTGATTTACAGTCGTGTTAATAATTTACGGGAAATTCATAAATGAAGATATAATTTTGTTTTATAAAATATTCTGTGTAACATAAAATGTAAAAATCCTTTTCTAATCAAAAAATTGCAATTTCCGCTATGTTTCAATTCTAAATTAAACCAAAAGATTTTTTTTAAGAAAAAAAAAAGCTCTTAGTTTGAAATTTTAAGTTTTTATCATGTATAATTGTATCAATTATTCTCAATTACTGAAAAAAACCAATGTAAAAGATTAGTGAACGAATGTTATTGAAATAATCTAACTTTTACTCTTTATTTCCATTAAAAATACTTTCGGACTTTTATTATGAAGAATAAATCTGAAAATAAACGTCTAAGTGTTGTGTAATAAAATGAAAACCCATTATTTATAAAATCATGTCGATAAAAAAAAAACATTTCGATCAAATTGTCCTTATTGTGTATACCTACGCCACGTTCTACTTCTGTTAATATAGTAGGTCTGATAGATAATTGATGCTAGATAAGTCATAAATGTTCAAGATGACTGTATTATGTAAAATTCTATCGTTATCGTAAGAATGAAGATGACAATATGGACAGTATGGAAATATACAATATCCAGGTATCGGTAAATTAATAAATGATTAAAATGTACTGCCTGAATTATCAGGACAAATTAATTTTATAATATTGTTATGTATATTATGCCCTCTATCTACAACTATTTTATACTAATCTAAGTAAAAATAATTTCGTGAAGTTCTGTTTAAAAACATATCATACAAGTATCTTTTAAAACAATACTCCTAACTTCGATTTTTACTTTTAACGTAATATGCTTCAAAAGCTATAAAATATATATTAATAATACTTAATTCTAGAATATAATCTTCAAATTATAATGACTTAATTTATGTTTATTATTACATGTTATACATATATTGCTACTTGGAATATAATTAGTCTTGGACCTAATTAAAGACTATATAATTAAATAGTATACGCTATTTGTACGTACTTGTAATTATTCTTCTAGAATTTGATATATAAAATTATTAAATGTACGAATATGTAATCATTAGGAACTTGATAATATATTTATTTGTTAAACATGAATACTTTATGAATTTAACAACAAAATTATATGATTTCTATGATAAGTAATTATTAAACTACATCGCTAACCTCAGCTTAGGGTGAACAAAAAATTATTATTTTTTACAAAACACGATTTTGATATTGAATTTAAAAAGTATTAAAAAATCAGGGTTCAGTGAAAAACATTTATTTTTTTATTCGTTTGATGTGACTGAGTTCAAAAATAATATTAAATATATAAAAATTATAAAAATGTTCACATTAAACATTTTCAAAACATAATAAATGTCCTTTATGCATGCTACATTACACTTCTGAACTTTTTTTATTTATTGTAAAAAAATGTAATTTGTAAAAAAATATAAATAAATTGTATACATGATTCGTAACGTTAATATTTTTCTTCACTATGGTTTATCTCAATAATAAAAAACGTTTTTATTTATAAGTAAATTAATAAATAATAATAATGACACAATATATATTATAACAAATAATAATAATAAATAATGAATAATAATAAATTATTATAAAATGTACAAATAAATAATTTTAAATCAAAATTATAGGTCACTATAAGTTATTTAAATTTTTAACTATTAAGATAGTAACGATAGTAAGTTTTTTTAATTTTATTAAACTTAAATACAATATAAAATGGTATCTAATTTGATATATTTACAAACCACATGATTTGTTGTTAACTAAACATCCTACTGACTCAAAATATCCTTGATGACATTTATTGCATTTTGGTTTAACTAATAAATTGTTAGAATACATTATAATGCTCAGTTTATTCATTATGTGAAGAAATTACCAATAAATTAGATAAGGTTTTATTAATAATATGTATAATTTTATGTATTTATCATGTTTTATGTTTTATGGTAAGTGGTTTAAAATTAGTCATAATATATTATTCTCCAAAAAGTTATGAAAAGGGTTTAAACTTAGATATGAAATTAGTTTTATTGGTTAGGTACTGATATAAATTATGACTTAGAAACTGAATATTCTATTATAAAACTAAAAAATAATAAAAACTGTACAGCAAAAAAAAAAAAAAAATAATAAAAATAAATAAATCACTGAAAACATTATATTTTATAAGATTTATAAAAGTAGGTAATAAAAGTTAAAATACTTTCAGAAAAATGTTACACAAATTATATTCTAAAGAAAAATATTAGGTAAATTGATCTAGGCAATGTTTAAATTTAATATTATATACTTATAAGTATACTCATAATAATCTATGAAAAAAATTGTAACTGTATGATAAGATAATTTAGTTCAACATATTTTCTAATAATAATACTTAATATAAAATAAAATTTCAAAAATAATTGATCTTTATGCAAACAAACAACAAATGAAGCATGTATTTTCATTATTATGACAGTAGATTTTTAATCTTTCATCTAAATTTAGAAGTATGAATTGCAATATAATTCGGCTACGACGATTTATT